TTATACAGAATCAGAAAGATTTCACAACCTTTCCGTACGCCATTAGTTGTAGAAAATGAAAGTTTAACCAACCATTTCACGTTTAGTGTACCAGAAAAAAAGTAACTCGGATGCTTCCAACTTTGAAATGATGAAGATAAGAAATAGACAGAAGAAAAAGTGATCTGCCCTTCTTTTTATTTTTGTGTCCCTGTATAGCAACAAGAATCCATGGTGCCCAGCACGTAATTCAAACCTTCAAGGCCAAACTTGTCTTATCGAAAGTTAGGCTACCCAACACTTTCTATGTATGTTTTTTTCTTGAGAATTATATTTACATTTTTTTTTATATATATTTCACTATTAAATACATTCTAAATTCAAAGTTAAATTTTTTATTTTTACTAAATGCACTCCACCTTTCACTTTCTTTGTTCCCTTCGTACCCTTTCACTCCTTCATTTTCTCTTCTTCTCTCTTCACTTTCAATAAAATCAAAATCTTAAATCCATCAAACTAACCCTAAATCACCTATTTTTTTTAGTTCTGCACTAATTAAAACTAAAATTTTTAGTTTGTTTTCAATTGATTTTGTTGAAATTTGGAGGAAATACATGTAAATATAAATTAAGATTTACAGTAAAATTTAGGTAAATTGTCAAAAATACCTTTTCAAAAAAGCTTAAAACTTCTCAAAAATCAAAAAGCGTAAAACTTTCTTGACAATCTATTTGCTTATAAAAGCTTTTAAGTTTTTCGAAAATCTATTTTCAAAAAGGCTTAAAACTTCTCAAGAAATAAATTTTCAAAAAATTTTAAAACTTCTCAAAAATCTATTTCCGAGTGCCGTAAAGAAGAAGAGAAAAATAAATATATGAGGTGTATGAAGGTAAAAGTATAATTTATTAAAGAATAAATTTTATATTTAATATGTGGATATTTTTAAAAAGAAATTTAAAAGTGTATAAAGAAGTTTGGGTGATACATTTAGAAGCCCCTTCTCTCTTCCTTCATGTCTTTTCTGGCTTGAAATGGAGAAAAATAGAAAGCCTAAAATACCTTTGTTGCCTGACAAACTCACAAGAGTGGAACCTGAATTTTGGTATTCATTATAGTGCATGAAAATCGAAAACTACTGTAGAAATCAAAATTACTCAGTATATTTCAACTATGTCATACCCATCAAACTGAAAATACAAAAAAAAATAAATAAATAAAAATAAAATCTGTAACATTATCCTCGTCACAGATTCTAGATGCTAAAACATTTTCAATTGGGTGATTGATTAATTTGCTGAAGAATATATCGATGACATCGAATCTTGTGACTTTTTTTTGGTGGGTTTCTATAAGCAGGATGCATATGCCATTTTAGTCCTTGGTCTCTGTTTAATTCGATAGATGCAAATATTTGTGGGGACATTGAACCTCTTCCTGCAATCTCTTTCATTGTCTCTGTTTGTGTATTCTCTCTTACCAATAATGCTTTAATTGAATTCAAATTCAAATTTTAATTAAATGTCAACAAATTTAGAATTCAAATTAATATATGTAATTTTTTTTGAAATTTTAATCTATCGTTAAATTTTTTATCTTATTAAAAAATATATTACACGCATAAACTCTTTCAAGTCTGTAATTTTTAAATGTCAATTTCAATTACATATCAACTAATCTAAAGGATAATCAACACTAATACATGTAACTCCTTTTCTATAAAACATAATAACTTGAGGAATTAAAAATAAAGTGTCAATGATGTCCTTGTTGATTTAGTTTTCTTTTTTTTTTTTTTCTATCATAATGTGAATAAGTAACGTAAAAGCTTAAAAAGGTAGTTTAATAAACCACATCAATTTTTGGCAAAAATATGTATACATTTTAAAAAAACTAAAGCAAATCAATAAGTTCTTATTTGGTAATAAAGTCCATAAGTGAATTACCAAGTTATAATATCTAAGATTGTTAAACTATAAATTTTTGGAAGGATTAAAGGCAACATGCACTTTTACTTTTTTTTTTTATTCTTAAGAATATAAATTAGTCTATAATTTATAACTTGTAAAATAAAAATGATTTCTCAATCACTACATGAAAATAGATATTTAGTGACTGTTTTTTAGCGGCGTTTTTAAATAAACGTCACAAAATTTTATGTTTTTATAAGATTAGCGGCATTTTCTTATAAAATGTCACTAAATTCTTATATAACAACATTTAGATTTAAGAACACAATCAAAAATATATTTTTGTTGCGTTTGTTGATCTAAACGCCGTTATATACTTTAATTTTTAATTGAAGAGAATTTTTCAAGGTGTTTTTTGGCCAAAACTTTTTTGAATAACCCAAAAAAAATTGAGAAAGATTATTGAAGGTATTTTTAATAAAATATGCTTTGAATAATCCCCTCTAATTTTTAATTGAAGGGGATTATTAAAGGCTTTTTTGATAAAAAAATACCTTAAATAATCCATTTCAATTTTTAATTGAAGATGATTATTCAAAGTATTTTTTGTTAGAAACGTCTTGAATAATCATATTTAATGTTTTGTAAGGGATTATTCAATGTATTTTCTGACCAAAAATACCTTGAATAATCTCTCAAAAAATGAGAGAGGATTATTGAAGGCCTTTTGATAGAAAATGCTTTGAATAATCCCAAAAAATTGGAAGAAAATTATTCAAGATATATTTTTTGCCAGAAACGCTTTAAATAACCCAATTCAATTTTTTATAAGGGATTATTTAAGGCGTTTTCTAGCAAAAAACATCTTGAATAATCTTTAAAAAAAAATAAAAAAATATTATTCAAGACGTTTCCCTTTTAGCCAAAAACACTTTGAATAATATCTTAGAGGGGATTATTGAATGTCTTTTTTACCTAAAGCACATTAAATAACCCCACTTAATTTTTTATAAAGGTTATTCAATGTATTTTCTAGCCAAAAACACTTTAAATAATCTCCTAAAAAAAATTAGATGAGATTATTGAAGGTATTTTTTGCAAATACACCCATTCTATTTTTTGGAGGATTATTCAAAGCATTTTCTAATAAAAAAGTCTTAAATAATCCAAAAAAAATTAAAGGAGATTATTAAAGGTATTTTTGGCCAAAAATACCTTCAATAATCACACTTTTCATTGCTAAATTTCTCTTAAATTTCAAACCCGCGAGACTCCTATTATGTTTTTTTTTCTTACTCATTTCTTCTATTTTTACTCATTTTGGGTTGTTTTCTTCTCATTTTTTGCCCAAGTTTAAGTCAGTCGTGGTCAATTTTCATTTTTTTTCTTTCATTTTTGTAATTTTTAAATTAATTTTCTTGCATTTTGGGTCAGATCCTTAAATTTTATGTCTAATTTATTAGGTTAAATCCCTAAACTTTTTGTCTAATTTGTTGCATTTCTGTCGTCGTTCAAGCTCCATTTCAACATTGACAATTTTTTGTGTTTGGCTATTCTTTTTTTTTTATCAATTTATTTCGTTATTACAATTTTGAGTTTAATTTTATTTTATTGGTGAAAAAAATTCAAGATAGAATAGAAAGAGAAAGAAATAGGATTTTTCTATAAAAAACTTGAAATTGAACATTGAATTTAGTTACAAACACGAATTAAATTTTAGATTTAGTTTTTTTTTCAACAGAATATTTTGAAAATTACTAAAAAATTATTACTTGTTAACAGGAATTTGTTGATTTATTCAAGATATCCTTAGGAAACCATTCTGAAATAGTCTATTATGTTTTTTTTTAATCTCATCTCGGCATTTATTTTATTTATTTTTTTCGATTATAATGTTTGATGAAAAGACTTAATCTTACTTGAAATGATTCGTTCTATATGAAAACCATCAACAACCGAAGATAGAGAACAAAAAAAAAAAGATATCTATAGTCATTTATTAATGCTGCAAGGTAAAGTATTTGTCATATATTTAATCTTCCTCTGTGACATTGTAAGTTTCTAGATGTGTGAATATTTTTGTATAAATTTTTTGTTGATGTTATCTTTGTTATTTTTAGATTTTTTATTAATATACTAAAATAATTTGAATGTTATTATATGTATTAATCTTTGTGTTTCATTCATATTTGAACAAATTATATATTTATAATATTCAGTTTATGAATTTAAGTTCGTTTTTATTTCTTTTAATATTTTTTATTTAATGATAATAATTAATATTAAAAAAATTAAAAAATAAATTTATTAATTTAGCGGCTTTTGTGCCTAAAAATGTTGCTAAATGTCAAAATATAACGACGCTTTCTACTATAAATACTGTTAAATTTAGTGATATGTTTTACTATAAACGTCGCTAAATTTAACGATATTTTATAATAAAAATGTCACTTTTTTAAAAACATCATTATTTTTTTCGATGTAGGTATAAACAACACTTTTAATGATATTTATAAATACTACTAAACGTAAAAAAAAACGTTGCTAAAAACTTAATCCCCTATAGTGAATGTATCGTATGCTTGCATTTGTTACTCAATCGCAAATGGATTGGTTAAGATTATATTGATTCATATTGTTTCAAATTTTAGTTATTTTAACTTTAAGTTTGAATCTTTTTGAACTCATTTAAATTTGGGTGGAATTCATTAATAAGTTATATTAAGAGGGTTTAAAATTAAAATTTTAATATTTATAAATTTTTTAATATTTAAATTATGATTCTTTTATCAAAAAAATTGAATCCAAATTTGATCAATTTCGATTTGGAAAAATAAATTATGCTTAATACCAAACTAATTTTCTAGTTTAAGAAAAATTAATTTGGCAAACGTCAATACTTGAATTGGTTTCCACATTCCTTTAGAGGAGCGTGTTTTTAACTTCTATAAAACTATTTGAGTCGTTTTAACAACATTTTATTTTTGTCCGCATAGTGGTGGAGCGTAAGTGTCACAGAGTATAAAACGCGCTTTGAACTTTTTTTAAAACTTTCATATTCATATTACCAGAGTTTTGTAATAATTTATGGACCAACCAATTCAATTCCTATATATAACGCAAGAAGAGTGGTGGTTTTATTTTTGGACATTGGGAGAAAATCTCGCTTGACCGTTACAAAACTCTCCGTCTCTATACCCCTCTCCCTCTTTTCATTCATTGGCGGCGCCACCAATCCTTCTCGGCCACCGCCACTGCCTCCACGACGGAAAACCAGGCAATTCTAATGCCAAGAACCTCATCCTTCACAGAAATTCCTTGCACATCTTTAATTTAACCCCAAGTTTTTTCCGGTTCTGGTTTTGCATTTTCTTTTTCCAGGGTCCAAGACTCAAAAACAATAGAAATTCTCCATATATAGAAGCATCTATCTCTCTCTCTCTTCATTCGTCAAAATCTGACCCTTTTTATATGGAAAGTGGGAATAAATAATTCACCGTTTGGGGCCAAACCTTTGTCTCTTACCCTTCTTTTACTCTTCCTCCGGAAAGGATCGTTGTCATAATTTGATTTTGTCATTTGAAAGGTCCTTGCTTTTGTTTCCGGGTCCGCTTAGGCCATGGCGGACATTGTGAAACAGATCCTGGCAAGGCCAATACAAGTGGCAGACCAGGTGACCAAGGCCGCGGATGAAGCACAATCTTTCAAACAAGACTGTCAAGAGCTTAAAGCCAAGACCGAGAAGCTATCAGGCCTCCTTCGTCAAGCTGCACGTGCGAGCAACGACCTTTACGAACGCCCAACACGCAGAATCATCGATGATACCGAACAAGTCCTGGACAAGGCCCTAGCTCTTGTCATCAAATGCCGTGCAACTGGTCTCATGAAACGAGTTTTCACCATTATCCCTGCGGCAGCCTTTAGGAAAATATCAATGCAACTCGAGAATTCTATAGGAGATGTTTCATGGCTCTTACGCGTGTCAGCCTCGGCTGATGATCGTGATGATGAATATCTCGGTCTTCCTCCCATTGCAGCCAACGAACCGATATTGTGTCTTATATGGGAACAGATTGCAATTCTTTACACAGGTTCATTAGATGAACGATCCGATGCTTCTGCTTCGTTGGTTTCTTTGGCTCGGGACAATGATCGATATGGTAAGCTAATCATAGAGGAAGGAGGTGTCCCTCCTTTATTGAAGTTGGCAAAGGAGGGGAAACCGGAAGGTCAGGAGAATGCAGCAAGAGCAATTGGGTTGCTGGGACGTGACCCGGAAAGTGTGGAACAGATTTTGAATGCAAGCGCTTGCTCGGTGTTCGCGAAAATCCTCAAAGATGGTAACATGAAGGTTCAATCTGTGGTGGCTTGGGCAGTATCAGAATTGGCTGCGCATCACCCCAAATGCCAGGACCATTTTTCACAGAACAATATAATTCGGTGTCTCGTCAGTCATCTCGCCTTTGAGACCGTTCAAGAACATAGTAAGTATACCATTGTGAGTAAGGAAACAATGTCTATTCATTCAGTTGTTATGGCTAGTAATACTCCAGAGCAAACTAATAAAAAGGAGCACGAAGATGAAGATAAGCTACGTAACAATAAGAATATAGCTCACCCTATGGCGAATCAAACACCTAGCCATATGCATAACGTGGTTACTAATACTATGGTTATGAGAAGCCAGACTCCGGACAGTTCTAAGACAACGCAACCAAACAACTCTTCTACAAATCACCACCATGTTAACCATCCCAAAGGCAACCAGCAAACTGCCAAGTCACACCAGCACCATCCACAACATGTTTCATTATCTGGAACTAGCATTAAGGGAAGGGAATTTGAAGACCCAGTCACAAAAGCACAAATGAAGGCAATGGCAGCAAGAGCTCTCTGGCAGCTTTGCAAAGGAAATCTTGGTATATGTCGTACCATAACGGAATCAAGAGCTCTATTGTGCTTTGCAATTTTGTTAGAGAAGGGCGCCGATGATGTACAGTCCTATTCAGCCTTGGCATTAATGGAAATCACAAGTGTGGCTGAGCAAAATGCTGAATTGAGACGCTCCTCTTTCAAGCCTACTTCCCCTGCTGCCAAAGCTGTTGTGGAACAGTTACTCAAAATCATAGAAAAGGCAGACTCAGACCTCCTCGTGCCTTGCATCAAAGCCATTGGAAACTTGGCCAGGACTTTCCGAGCAACTGAAACAGGGATAATTGGGCCATTGGTGAAATTGCTTGATGAAAGGGACGCAGATATTTCTATGGAGGCTGCCATTGCACTTAACAAGTTCGCCACACCTGAAAACTACCTCCATGCCACTCACTCAAAAGCCATTATCAATGCAGGAGGCGCCAAGCATTTAATTCAGTTGGTTTACTTCGGTGAACAAATGGTTCAGTTTCCTTCTTTGGCCCTGCTTTGTTACATTGCGCACAATGTTCCTGACAGTGAGACCCTTGCACAAGAAGAGGTGCTTATAGTACTCGAGTGGGCATCCAAGCAAGCCCATCTATCTGAAGATCCTCATATTGCTGATTTATTACCAGAAGCCAAAAGTAGATTGGAACTCTATCAATCAAGGGGTTCCAGAGGATTTCATTAACTTTATCGTTTTGGGTAAGAATATTTTCTGAAGTAGTTCAGTTTTGTAAGTTGTATTCACCCACCCTGATGAACTGTATATAAATTAGCATTGATGTCAACACTGTTATGGACTTATGTAGTCGTGTAGGAGACACTTATGGCTAATAGGAGCTATAGCTCATGCTTCTCACCTTTACTCTCTTCTTTTTCTCCTTTTTAGTCTCGTCTGTTATCTTTGCTGCTGGCAGCGCCTATCATCCATTATCTGCTTGGAACTGGCTTTGAAATCTTGCCATTGGCATTGTTTGCTGGTAGCTCTTATAGTTTATACTATCATTGCTCTTTAAAAAGTGTGGTTGGCAAACCCTGCCTAGGTCATAAGACTCGTATACATCAATCTCAGGCCAAATTTTGGACAGCTGAGAATTCTAAAAATTTGGCATGTATTCTTAGTCTCAAATTCGTTATTTCATGGTAGTCCGATTTAGTTTTTTTTTTTTTTTTTTGGCCAAATTTGATGGTGGCAGTGAATGATTTGTAGAATTTAAGTCATTAATGAAGCACATTTTAAATGATGGTATAGTTTAATTGAAACAATTTCAAAAGCTGCTTTTATTGCCTCATATTTTTCTTTATCTGACTATTAACATCACACTGTTCATGAACATAAGAAGTATTCCTTCTTTTTTTTTTTAAGCTCTATTCCCTTTTATGAATTTTGAAATTGAAATTTGTTTGTTTAAACACTGGGCACAGGACATTCAATTATTGAATCTGTGTCGGTTCACTTTAGAACCTGTTCGGTTCAGATATAAAGAGGGTTTCCATTTTGAGGAACTGCTATTTAGTCAACGAACAGAGCATACAAGCCAAATTTGTAAATCACTTTGCTTTGAATTTGTGCATGAAAAAAAAAAAAAAAAGTGTGGCGTGCCGAGCCAATGTTGGATTAATTTTTGACAAACACTAGTCCTTCCTACATTTTCATGTGAGACAAAAATTCATGATGATTACTGGACAACTTTACATATAAATGATAATGAAAGAACTTGGACACCACCATTTCCTCGTGCATATCCAAACAAAGTTCCTGTTTTCTGCTTTTGGAGTTTGGTTTTGATTAGATAGATGAAGCTTGCTTGATGCTTGGTTGCTTGCTTTTCAATAAGTCTAACTGGATAACACATTCGAAGAATTTTCTTCATCACAACTGTTCACGAGTAAGAATTACATTCAAATGACGTAAACCTCTCAGGCTCTGGGTGAGTTTTCTGGCACATGAATTGATGGTTAAGCTGTACATTTTAATAAGGCCCAACTTGGAGTCGAGTCTCAATAAAAAAAAAAAAAAAAAACTTGAAGAAAAAGTGGGTTGGGCAAAAGACTGAAACAGTACGGCAAACACGGTTATAAAACATCTGGGCTTTTTGGGTGCCAATGTCCATGTATGATGTTTCTGAGCCTAAGCTTTGAACTGATCTAGTAATGATTTCGTTCCTGATACAACATCTGGTTACGAATTTCGTTCTATTATGCAACAACCTTTCCTACTGTGAAGGACCTGACTGATTTGGTGGGTTGTGGAAAATGAAACTTTGAATTGGCAAAGTGGAAAAGGAAAGGGGTTGAGCAAGAAAGGAACAAAGGCAGGAGCGAAGGAAGAACAAAAATGCATCCCGACTGCGTTCAGGCTGCGCTGTTGTTGTCCGGATCAATGACATATAGTACGTTATTTTATCACATGATTGATGGAGGAAGAAAAGGAAGTTGCAGTTGAATCAAACTTACCATCAACGGGTGAATGATCGTTATTTCTAACAAAAAAAAACCTATTATTATGAAAAAAATATTGTATTGTATTGTATTTATTTATATATTTATTTTAGCCAATTTTTGTTTTGCTGGTTTGCTATTATAACCGCTAGGGATATATAATTTTGTTTTGGATTAAGCTTTCTGATGCAGGGGTTCAGGCCAGATTCAAAAGCTTTTAGATAGGCCTAGTCGCCTAGACGTGGGTAGACAGCAGATAGATCTGTAACCTTTTAAATACCGTAAAGTCCCATCAGATTTAAACTCCTAAAGACCAAATAGACTTAAAATATTTAAACTATTTTATTTGGATCTAATCCTTTAGAATAGTTTAATTTTGATCTTTATACTATAGTGCAGCTGTAACTTACATGAAAGCATTACATGGATATTACCTTGGCAAGTCGGATAGATATTTTTTTACAATAGTTAATGGAAAGGTATAACAAAATTATCAAAATGAACCATTTTGAAGGAATAATCCGTCAAATCCATCAGCTTGTTCTTTTAATTATCCTAAATAAATAAACAAATAAAAAATTTAAAAAAATTGAGGATCCAGATTAAATAATTCATAAGTTAAGTATAAAAGTGGAATCAAAATAAAAAAATTTAAAATGTTATTAAATGCACTCCTTTTTTCACATTTTTTTAATTTTTTATAAATAAAATTATTTAATTATTCTTTTAATAACTTTATAAAATTTTATAATTTTTGAAATTTTATTTTCAGAAAAATTTATGATTTTATGTGAAAAATAATGGATAATTAAATAATTTTACTTATAAAAAATTTAAAACAAAAACTGAGATGTGAAGAGAATAAACCGAATACATTTAGCAATATTCAAAAAAAAAAAAAACTGTTTTCCTTTTCCCAATTGTGGGAAAAATGCCTTGAACCTCAGCATTCAAGCTATTAAAAATCAAGTTTGACTTTTTTTTATAAAAGATATCTTTTTTTATTGATTAATAAATTATTTTTATTAAATTTACTTTTTTACCAAATAAATTTCAAAAAACATGTAGATTTACCAAGCACTCCTATAATGCATTGCAATGAAAATTTGTAACATAACCAAATATCAAAGTCTTTTGGATATTTTTTAAAATATGAGGGTTAGACAAAATGTTTCAATCACTTTCACTAAAAATTGAATTTTAATAAGATTAATATTTGATCTCCAACATTTATCATTTTTTTTATTTTCTATAAATTTTGACATCTTTGTATCAAAAAATAAAAGATGCTTAGATTAATTAAGTTTAAAATAAGCATATGATAATGAGATTATTAGTTTATAAATAAAAAGAATGGGATAATACTAAAACAAATATCCTAACTTAAAAAAATTAAAATTTGAATTTTTATTTCATTGTAATTGAGGGAGAATTGAGAAAGTTCTGATAGTTTATCATCAAGTTCATCTAAATATAAATATTAATTTATTTCATTATAATTATATCAATTAAATTTAAATATTAACGAATAATATTTAATTTTCATAATTATTAATAACAATTCCTCCAAGTATTTTATCATCCAACTCATATCAAATTCAAATATAAACGTCAACAAATCAAAAAGAATTTACACATCATGAAAGTTAGCATTACAATAAAAAATATAATCTTAATTTTATATAATAAAAATAAAAAAAACTTATTTCAAAATTTTAATTAAGTTTGGGAACTCATTTGAGTTTTACCATAAAAAATAAAAATATAAAGTTTATAATCCTCCCTTATTATTTAAATTTTCCTTACATGTAGAATATTGAAAAAGAAAATCAGAATAGATTTGCTAGGATAATAAAGAATATTTTATCTATAATTTCAATTATAATATTAAAATTATCTAATGATAATAAAATTAAAAAAAACATTAAATAGATTTATAATAATAATATGAGTAGTAAATATTTTAATTATCATTAATTAGAGCCATAACAATCATTTAAGTAGTAATTAAATTTAAGGAGTTGTGTAAATGATGGCACAGAAGCAAGTCAAGACCCCATTGAAATGTCCCATCCAACACATGCCTGTCAGTCTCAGACTCAGAGTTTTTACCCCACTCCCAAATTTACCCTTTGACCACCTTTTTTTTTTTTCTCTTAAAAATTCACAATTTACAAACTCCTTGCAGTCTGCAAAGCAGGAGATAGACGGCATAGTCTTTTCAACAGATTTTTTATTTTTACTGCGGCTCCCATCAAAACAACTTGATCCCTCCTCATTCACATGATCACATCTGTCCTCTCAGGACTCCGGACCCTTTCGTAACTTAAAATAATATTCCCTCCATCATATAATCAGACGCTCCATATTCCACATGATCCAAATCCCCAGCCGTCCGATCCCCTCCTCTGAAACCCCGCCGTCGCCATGATCCCCCCATCGATAAGATCCTCCCCTTAATTTTATTAATTAAACTTTTATTATTATTATTATATTTCCAATGCTGACGTGGCAGTCACACCATTTGCGTTGTTCTGATCTGCACTATAAAATTCCCACCTCGCTTTCGTTTCTGCGTCTTTCTTTGTTCTCTTCCTTCGTTCTTAGGCGGGGGGATTTTGGTCAGGGTTTTTAGATCTGGGCTTTGCAGAAAAGATGGGCGAGAGTAGGATGACTGGGAAGGTGAAATGGTTCAGTGACCAAAAGGGGTTTGGCTTCATAACCCCTGACGAGGGCGGCGAGGATTTGTTTGTTCACCAGTCTTCGATCCGTTCCGAGGGTTTTCGTAGCCTTGCTGATGGTGAAGAGGTCGAGTTCGTTATCGAGTCTTCTGAAGGTCGCACCAAGGCTGTTGATGTTTCTGGCCCCAACGGTAACCCCGTTCGTGGCACCACCAGATCCAGTCGCGGCGGCGGAGGTGGTTATGGTGGTGGTGGGTCCGGGGGTTATGGTGGCGGTGGTTACGGTGGTGGAGGAAGGAGAGGTGGGTATGGTGGTGGCGGCGGCGGCTATAGCGGAGGTGGCAGCGGCGGTTATGGCGGAGGTGGCAGCGGCGGTGGAGGATGTTTTAAGTGTGGAGAGATGGGACATATGGCAAGGGATTGCACACAGGGTGGCGGTGGTGGCGGAGGTAGATATGGTGGAGGCGGCGGTAGCGGCGGAATGGCCTGCTACAACTGTGGAGGCGCTGGGCATTTCGCCAGGGATTGTCCAAATAATGGCCGTTGAGGTGGAGTGGGTGCAATGTGTGTTTTTCACTTTTACCCTAACCGTTCCTTTCTTTTTCCCTTTCGGTACTATTTCTGTCGGTTTCGTTTTATCAGTATGGTTGGCTGTTATGTTTTCTTTTTTATTTCTGAAGAAGGATTGCTCCTAGTAAGTTTGTTGTCTTTTTTGCTTTTTATTTTAGGTTTTGAATGCTGGGAAATGGTTGTAATGGGCACTTTTGTAGGGTTACAGTGGAGTGGATTTAGAATTGCTAATGGAAAAATATGAAAGGAAACTGATGTTAAAACCCTCACTGTCATCAAGTGTTTATACACATATAATATACCATCTGGTGGTTTTGTGTTTCTCTTTGTATTAACAGTCCTCTTGAAATGATTTTCAGTAGTTTCCTTTCCCTGTATAATTTGGACGTCTTGGTGATGATTTGATATCTCTGTTCGAATATTATATTGCTTTTTTGGGATTTCAATGGTTTTGGAGGGAGAAAAGGAATTGGAGGGAAAGTGGTAGGGGAGAGGGGCTGAGACCTGAAATTGTGTTAATACGGTTATTATTTGTGGCAATAAGTTCCTTGTAAGTGACATTTTTCAGCATGATACCCTTTTTCTCGGGTTTCTTTTGTTTGTTTGTTTTCTTAGACGTGTAGGGACGGAAATTGCAGATGGGGAGGAGCTGTGCTCCCATACTTGTTTTCCTTTATGCTATTTGAAAAGGGTTGGGACACATTTGGTGAATAAAGCACATGAATAATGCAACATAAAGCCATCCAATTATAGGGTGCTTCCTTGCTTTTTTTTAACCAGAAGTGGTCCATTCCATTCCTCTGCTTTGACCCCTTTCTCTGTTTTTGGAGGTTTCAATTAATGGTTAATTCCTGTTTAGTAATGTGTATTTAGTCAGTTTTAATAAAACAGTCTCGTTGAGACAGGCTGGTGGTGTTTAATGCGTGCTTCGAGTGGAAGTGGACCTCTTTGCTCCTTTTAGGAAAAGAACAGGGATGGTTGGAAATTGCCGAGAAAAAGAGAAAATTTCAGCTGCGTAGTTTTCGCTTGGGTGGATGAGCCTGGGGTTTAACCATATTGGTTTTTTGTGTTTCCACTGTCAAAGCCTTGGTTAGATTCATCGTTCAATTTTTTTCCATTTACTGCTGTTTTCCTGTTTTGTAAATTACTCTTACCTCTACCAAGAGTCTTGGGTTTTGAAGTCGAAATTTCATTGTTTAACTAATGAGATGAGATTTTCCTCGGGAACGACTTCCAATACTCAATTAAAAGGATCCCATTCCCAGTTCACACCCCTATTAAAGAATGACCTAAAAGAAGTTGGGAATGATGAAAAGGTTTGGGAGTTCCTTGGAATGAAAACTTATTATTAATCTTCTTAGCCTGAACATACATTTTAGTTGGATGTTGAGAAGGGAGTCGGCGCTATTTGTTCGACTTCAACCTAGTTTTGGTTGGAGGATTGGGGTTTGGGTTGGCTTTGAACCATCTCAATCCAAAAATCCTCCTTATAGATTCGTACTACGAGCCGAGTATAATGACGCCAATTGGACTAGGATGGTGATTGATATTTTTACAAAAATGGGGGGCCTAATTTAGCCTTACTGAATCTGATTTCCAAAACGCTGACGCCTATGACTGACGCCTGCTTAGAGCCCTGTTTAAGGATGCATTGCATTTTCTTTCATTTTAGAATTGAGAGTGGTGGCCCATTGGCTGTTGGGACACAACAATGACCTTTATTACATTTTAAGAATGGTGTCCATCACGAATCTACAATATGGACAAGAAATACTCCGATTGAACAGCAACCAAAATATGGACAAGAAATTCTTATTGCAATCCAAGTGTAGGAAAAAATATATCCAAACTGGAAAAAAGAAAATGAAGAGTGTTGCACATGAAGTTCAAAACATGACGAGTAACGAGTCAATCGAAAATTGATGATATGATTTGTTGATAAAATATTAAACTCTTAATTTTAAGAATAAAAGAAATTTTCCTAATGGCTAATATTCATGCATGTAACTAAACTTTGCCTTGGTATTATATTATCAATCATTCTTTTACCAATTACCAAGAAAAACAACAATCAATCACTCAAAAAATTCAAGCTATTAGAAAAACTATAAATTTACAATCAGTGCCAGCTTATTTTCAATTATTTGAATGCCGGTGTGAAATGGGTTCCCAAGAATTGAGGTTAACTAGCAGATTGGGCTCAAATTTCTGTTTTCTGGTGGTTTTATTCTCCATGGTGGACCATCTCGATAGGGGCAAGTTTTTTTAGCGGAGAAAGGTCGAGATTGGACTCTTATCCTTCATTTGAAACTTGTATCAATCACACATATTTCTGGCCTTTATGCAAGTACTACTTTTCAAATTTACCCAAAGCCAAGCCCCCAAAGCCCAAATCTTAGTTATTTTGAGGAATTTTCAATTTCTAATATTAGAAATTTAAAATATATCTGAATATTAGATTAAACTTTAAACTCATATTACATATTCCTCGAATAGACTTTGATATTGGGAATGGTAGAGGAATCTTAAACTTAATTTGGACTTTCTTTTTCTTTATAAATGTAGAGTATACTAATAATTGTTGATAATTGATATATATATATATATATTTGTTTTTCTACTATAGGAATAGCAATTCTTTTGTATTTTGTTTAAAATACTACTTTTTCCAAATAAATAAGAATAAAAGAACAAATAATTAACATTTATTTATGATATTAAAACTGTAAATATTAAATCTAGCATTGGGTTTTTTTTTACTTGTTAGAGATGAAATTTTGATTATTAGAATTAAAGATTTCAATTTTATTTATATCCAATGAAAAATCTAATTTTAATCCGAATAAAGATGAAAATAAGTATGATTTTAATTTTTATAGGATATGAGGATAGAGACAAAAAATATAGCACTCGCTTCGTACTTTACATATATATATATATTTATATATTTAATAAATAATTTTTTTATTAAATAATATAAATTATTTTTATAAAATTAATTAGAATTACTATATTTTTATTTAATATATATATATCAATATATATCTATAAAAATTACATAAATATACAACATAAAAAAATAACAAAAATAAATTTTAGTTTTTTTTTTTTTTAAGTTATGACTCTTTAAATATCAACGAGAATAAAAATAAAAATATATTTAAAATATTTATTGAATATGGGTACGAAAATATGTAGAATATAAAAATTTGAGGATGAAGATGAAAAATACTTTACATACCCCAATCCTACCTATTAATATCCCTAATTAGAATTAAGAATCTAATAATATACCAACATATCGTATAATTGATTGCAAAATCTAGCACGGTTAAATTGTCATCCCTTGAACAAATCGGGGGCAATGAAAAAGAAAAATAAAGAAAAATTTTATAGCTGCAGGAAACAGGTAGAGCATTGTCTCGGAGCTTTATATCATTTGTCTCGTTGTCTAACGAATAAAGATAAAGACTTACACTGAAAAGCCTTGAGCCTTTATTTTTTATCTAGGGCCGCATGCTCTTGCAAAGGGAATATAGTCTCTTTCTCTTGTAAAAGGAAGCTTTGACAACTTTGTTACTACTGCAACATTTTAGCTTTTTCATGGCTGCAAGATTATTAAGATTCCCACAGTAGTATTGCAGTGCTGTATCCATGTCTTACCAGCTTTATCGCCCAACATTCAAGCAACATCACCAATACCCCTTACGTCATTTTTACCTTCTTCTTTAATCATTAGGGCATGCCTGGTAAAGCCTTTTCATGATATATCATCACTTCATTTCTTATCATAATGGATAACATAGATGGAAAAAGAAAAGAAAAAAAGAATGAAAGATGCTTTCAAGTTTCAACTATTCTTTTCCCCTTTGCTGCATGAAACTGCTTTGTTGCTTGAATTATCCTTTTCAAGGTCCAACCACCAACGTCCTAGATATGAGAGATGAAGGTGGGAATCAAAAATCAAATTTCATCATAAATTTGATTCTATGGCATGCTATTAATCTCCTTCAGTTCTAGCAAAGGGTTTAAGGTTGTTGTTTACTGTTATAGCTGTCGAATTGCATGACAGATTGATTACACATTTGTCTAGATGGCGAATTGCAAAGAACCATTTTTTGTTTCTGTTCTGTGAATCGTTTGTGGATGTTTGCTACAACTTCCTTGTCCTCAATACAGGATATACATGCTTGATACAAGCAAAGATTTCAGTACTTCATAATAGACATCCCAATTTGAAGGCTTTCAGACCCATAATTTTTTTCCTAATGAAAATTATTTGACTAAGCCTTTGAACAGAGAAAAGTATAGAGTGGAAAAATAAAAGGGACAATTCACTGCCAATTTTCTTTGCAGCAGAATCTTATAGATCTAATCTTTATTAGAAGGTTTTGGACTTCATATTCTGTCACCTTATAGTAAAGTAGATTCCACTCTTATTTTTTGTTTAACGTCTCGTGTGCTTTCCACTAGATCTGCCAAATTTGTGCTTTAGTCTTCACTTCTTTCCAAGGGTTGAGAATATCCAAAATCAGGATTCAAATATGTACATACAAACTACAAACTTGGAAGTTGAGGCATTGAACCCATAAAGCAATGGAATGCTTGACATTATTGCAAAGGGCGGGGGAAAGAGAACAACTCTTATACTCATCATGAGAAAGTGAACCATTAGCTAAAAGTAGAGATCTTCAATTTTGGATACAAACTTTGTTGCCTTTTTTTTTTTTTTTGTTCTCTTGCAAATGCATTACAGACTCTCTAAGGTGACATTAACTGATTTATGAACTTCCATTGAACTCCAACTTTTATCTTCTCTGTCTACAGCAAGTAACAAAGATGATCAAAGTGTGCAAATGACACGATGACATATTCATGGTTGCAATTTTAGTTAAGCCATGAGGGGAACCCCTTGGAGTTGAGCAAATCAAGGGCTGCGAGTGTGATTGAAGGGATGGTGTAGAGGAGCAGCTGCGGTTGCGTTGAGGCCGTGGTATGGAGGTGAAGTGGGCAGTGCTGGTGGTGGGCATTGGTAACATTTCGTGAAGAGCCCAAATGTGTCAACCTGGTGTATGAAATTAGTCATGC